GTCTGTGTTTGCTTGCGTTTGTAGGCATTATTCATAGCAATTAATATTCCCCTTAGGTAAGCCTTGCCAGCATCCCAGACAATATTTATAGAAGTTTCCTTGTTCATATTAAGTTGAAAGAACTCTTCCATAGATTCCTTCAAAGCCTTAACTTTATCCTCATAATTAAACAAATTTTCATTTATTCTCCAAGATTTCCTCTTTGTTTTTTGGCCAATCTCTATCCAAACCATACTATGATCAGACAAAGTTCTAGGGAAAATTTTAGTTTTGTTACAGTCAATAAGTAAGTCAGTCGATATCAAAACAAAATCAATCCTTGAGAAAGAGTCATGTCTGTGAGAAAAAAAAGTAAAATCACGTTCATTAATATGTTGTGATCTCCAAACGTCCATCAATTCTAAATCATCTTTCATAGCAAAAAAGGACTTAGGTAATCTGGAAAGGGTTACATCCTTGGAAGTTGTTTTTTTATCATTTAACGTATCCAGAACCCCATTCCAGTCTCCCATAACAATCAAAGAGTTATAGTCCATCGCCACAATTTTCTGGTGTAGTTGTCTATAAAATTGCTTTTGAGCTACAAGTTGATTGGGTGCATAAACCCCTATTATTAAACACTTTTTTCCATTTAAATTTATTTCCACAAATAAATATCTTCCTTCTTTATCAGTTTCTTTTAAGATAGGTGAAAGATGTCTTTTGATGTACATTGCAACTCCAGCTCTCTTTTTTAAGGCAGATGCGGCAAACAGATCTCCAAGCTTAGAGTTCATTAAAAGTTTTTGATCTTTAACCACAATGTGAGTCTCTTGTAAGCATGTAATATCATTATTAAAATGTCTTAAGTAATGAAAAATCTTACGTCTTTTGTGGGGAACATTAAGTCCACCTACATTCCATGATATTAACTTACACATTAGGAGGTTTTATTCCACTGACAATACTAGCCGCATATGATTTCACAAAGACCTTAGGTCGAGCGCCACCTACTGGCTGCGAAATAGCCGGTACTTGACAATCAGCTGCAGGGGTGTCAGCTGGTGGACGAGCTGTCATCTGTCTTTCCTTTTCCTTGCGTCTATGAGCTGCGCGCGTAATTCTTTGTTCCTTCCCATTAGCTTTTGGGCTTTCCTCTAGATCTTGAACAGAAGCAGAAGAAAAATCCACAATCATCTGCTCAACCACATCAATCCTCTGGGGTGTGGGTGGGCGTTCTGATTGTAAGACAGACGCCATAAAGTCCTTAGCTTTATTAATCGAGTTGAGCCTGTAGCGTTTACCAGCTATTGTTACAATTATGCCCACCGGTATGTCCCATCTGAAATTTATTTGTCTGTTCTTCAACTCCTGTGTCAGAAAAGCATAATCTCTGCGCGCTCTGAGTATTTTTGCTGGAATTTCTTTAAAAGAATAATATCTTGATTCAAAATTTTAAATCTCTGTTGATAAAAGAGCTGCAATATTTCATTACGTCTCGACTTTCTTGTGAAATATATCACTATATCTCTAGGTAGATTTTTTTGTCTTGCAAACCAAGAGTTCACCCTAAAAACACGCTCTATTTCCAGATAAATTTCTTGACCACACGACAAAGCATCCCCAAGTGCATCTGCAATTACTTGTCTTAAGTTCTCTTTTGGATCCTCAGCCAATCCACGAATCCGAATTGCAAACTCCATATCACGAAATTGGGCGATCAGCACATCACTCTTAACATTTTCCAGACTCTCCTCTACAAGCACAAGTCTATGGTCACTTCCTTCTGCTTTTTGCTCATTCTCTTCCACCCTTTCTGCTATTGCGTCCACATAGTCAGCCAAACCTTTAAAAGCAGTTGCCACATTCGCACAATAATCATCCTGCTTCTGTGCTAAATCTTGCTGTTGTTGTGATAAATCCAGTTGTTGCTGCGATAGTTGATCAAATCTATTTTGCATTTTAACATCCATCTCTTGAAACATCTCGGTCATTTGCTTAATAGTTGCAGCCATCAAATCCTGCAGCTCTCTGCCAGAGGGCAGTGGAGACGAAGAAGATGGAGGGTGTGACGGGTGGGAAGTTTTTGAAGTTGGCTGAGGTGTCTGGGTCATCGGAGATGTATATTTTACAATCGAAGGCGCAGTTTTTTTCGAAGCCATATTTGCAATAAAGTCCAATTTGTTAAAAAGTCTTATAGGCAATTCAGCCGGAGCAGATAATGCGCCAGTTAAAAGTAACAAAAATTCAAACCGGAAATCACTTTCACTTCTTGCTGAAAAGTATCAAGCAATCGCCATTTTAAGTTCACTTTCCCTCAATCCAACTCAGATAAAGGGAAGAACGTATTATCCAAGTTAGAGTATAGTCCAAAAAATACAAAACAGACTTCCAGGGTCGGTTCGTCTGCTTACAAGGCAAACTCACAGTTATCTTTAAGTTGCAGCGGTGGCGGCGGCTTCTAGCTTCGCTACGGCGAAGGCGTCCTGGATCGCGGAGAAGCCCGAGGCTCCGGAGGAGTTCTCACCTACATCATCCACAAGGGACGACTCGGGAATTCAACTCCTACCTCGGGTAGCTCACCTATCCCCCTATGCCCAGGGGAAAGGTATCAAGCCGTTTGACAGCTGATGCAGGCTGTCAAAACGGCTTTTACGCAGAAACAGGCGGGAGCAGCAAACAGCTGCGTCCAGCGAAGTCGCCTGCCACCGGAAGTCTACTCTTGCTTTTGTTAATCATGTCTTTGCCCAAAGAAATCTTAGTTCTTTAGTCTCTTAATTCAGGGGCCCCCAACCCCTGGGCTGCAACCCAGTACCACACAAGCAGGAACCCGGCCATACAAGCGGTGGACAAGCAGGCAAACGCACGAAATTCCCATTTGTGCAAGTGGCAGGCACACAATCCCATCACTTGTGCAGAACTATTTCCTCTCTTACTATCGCCCTGTGCCGGTCCAAAGAGCCAAAAAGATTGGGACTGCTGTCTTATTTAGAACGTTATGTGTTCTGTGGCTAGCTTTAATTTTTCAGATTAAAGCAATTCTTCACATAATAACTCCAAATGGTTAAAAGCTGTTCTTGCCTACTCCTGTCAGAGTTTAAGAGGGAAACTTTTAAAATCTTAAATTATGAATTATTTGAAAATAGTAATCAATTTCAGTTTCCCAAGTGATATACAGGGAGTTCTCAACTTACAACAGTTCATTTAATGACTGTTCAAAATTACAACAGAACTGAAAAAAGTGACTTATGACTGTATTTCACACTTACAACCATTGCAGCATCCCCATGGTCATGTGAACAAAATTGCCATGCATATGTGAGCCTAGAGCAGTGGTTCTCAACCTGTGGGTCGGGACCCCATTTGGGGTCGATCAACCATTTCATTGGGATCGCCAAGCAAGGCTGTCCGCCATTTTTTTTGTCCGCCATTTTTCCCCCCTTTTCCGGCGGGTGCCTTACCTCCCTTGGGCTGGGCCAGCTGGTGGTCGGCCTGCTCCGTCTCTGCCGCTTGCCAGCTACGCCTCGGCCTGCGCAGGGGGCGGAACCACGCATGCGCAGCGCTCCCGGGCAGGGAAAGTCCTCGACTTATGACCGGTTGGGTAGTCCTCGACTTACGACCGGTTGGGTAGTCCTCGACTTACGACTGGTTTAGTCCTCGACTTACGACCGGTTTAGTCCTCGACTTATGACCGGTTGGGGTCACAGCATTAAAAAGGTTGAGAACCACTGGCCTAGAGAATCTTTGTCATACCTTATCAAACAGTGAAATGATAGAGTCCATTTTGACAGATAAAAAATAATTATGTCATTGGTAGATTTTAAAGTTTATTGTAGCAGCCAAATATTTGCAAGTAATCTCTGTGATTGCTATTAATCCGAAAAGGGATACATGCTTATTATAATTCCATTTTCAAATTTAATTGATTCTTTAGTAACTGAATTTGTTTTATCTTGTATGTTTGTACTTGCCCTGGCAAGACCATCATCTGTATATCTATGAGATATAGAACTCCATTCCCTTGGGCCTAATTCATAGGTGGGAAATACGGATCATAAACATGCATACAAGGGCTGTGCAAATGATTTGGAGAGGTCACTTCACAAAGCAACTGTAGCTTCCAGCCTAATTTGTTACGTGAAATGGCAGGTGATACTTTGAAGGCTTGGCATAACCAGTTCAGTGATCTCTTCACATTGTCTAAAACATGCTTTCCACTCTGGTTGGTGCAAGTTTCTCCCAACCCTCACTTAGAATTGTTCTGCCAGCAATTCAGCATTAACATTCTGTTTTACCAGAATAAGTACCAAAGGAACACAGAGTTTTTGTAGCTTATCAAATCTTTTAAATATTTTTATAGAGTCTGCTAACCAAGAATTCATGAAGGAAAAATCTTTCTTCTGCCGCTTCAGGTAATGCAAACTATGATAACCAATAGTCAGTATTTTGTGGGGACTTGGACTCAGGCACACCCTTGTATTTTCTCATAGAAAAGTTGCTACTTTTCCAATCCTTGCCTTTGATCATCACTGATTACTATTCAGAAGACATGAATGAAACATTTTAATAAAAAATATGAAATTTCCCCATTTGAATGGAAAAAAGATACATTCATTTCTGAAAATCCCCAAAACTATACCATATTTAATCATCTATAACCGTGGTGGCAAACCTATGGCATGGGTGCCAGAGGCGGCACTCAGAGCCCTCTCTGTGGGCACCCGCGCCGTCGCCCCAGTCCTAGGCCTTCAGCTGGGTTTTATAAAACCTTTTCGCTTTAGGCCTCTGCCGCCATGTGCAAAAAAAAAAAAAAAAGTTCAATCAGTCAATTTCAACTTCTCGCAGGAAAAAAAACGATCTTGCAAAGTTGGAATTGATTGATTGAACTTTTTAGTCCCACCCAGTTGGCCGTTACCACCGCAACCACGCCCACCCAATGGGCCACACCCACACAGCACTCAACGATGCATAAGTGGGTTTTGGGTTGCAGTTTGGGCACTCAGTCTCTAAAAGGTTCGTCATCACTGATCTATAACAACATAACAACTGGACTATGCTTTTTTTCATTTTTTTAGTGCAGGAAAAGCGAATATAAATGAGAATCACTACCATCCATTTCGTATGACCCCATACCTTATTAAGATACAAGGTGCGGAAGATCAGCTTTGTTGTGTGTTGCTTGCAGAAAAGGTACATTCTGGTTATGAAGGTAATAATACTGTAATTTGTTTTCTTTTCAAAGCAAAAAAGGACATAGTATTTTACAAAAACCACTCATCTTTTGAGGAGGCTATCATTGATAACATAGGGAGGTTTCCATGTAAAAAGCCATTGTACTTTGTAGAAAAGGTGATTCAGAAGATAATTAGTTTAAAATAACCTCTGTTACTAATCATGTTTACTTGGAAGTGAAATTATTGGTATTAATATTATAGTAATATATAATGCCTCCTATTTTTCCTATTCCCCCTGTTACAGTATCTATGCACCTATTGGAAAATAGACCTAATTGGTTTCAACTGGATTTATAAGTATGAATAGAACTGCTGGCTTTACTTCCATATCGCATTTATTTGTTCTTATCTTTATACTTTATATACAGTTTATCTGCCCATGTGGCATCTAAGGCAGCTGACAATTTCATGTGTTTGTTTATGGTTAAATTATAATAAAAACAGTTATATCCACTATTAAATTAACTCACTCTGAAAAGTTCTGTCTAAAGACAAAGGTCATTATTTTCCTAAAAGTGAATAGAATGGAGCTGAACATTATTTCTGAGGTGTCCTAGCTTGGGAACCACATGAGAAACATGTTTCCTCTGTATTAGACAATTTATTCTTTATTAGTATACTTTCTGGTTAAAATAGTTTTGACAATTTTAAGAATGACTATTCCAATATTTTGTTTTTGTGTTATGATCATTTGGTTGCTTGGTTGCTTTATTGTACACCACTATGGTCCATTTGGAGGTAAATTTGTCCTGTCAAGAGTAATGCAGCCTTATCCAGAACAGACTGAACCCAAATCCTAGAGCCTGTTTTCTATTTATCAAGAAAGCTCTATCTAGTCTGAATTTAATTTTAGCTTGCTAATGCTTAGCTACTCCATTGTCAAATTTAGTATCAGCCAATTTGACTTCAAATTAAATGGTATGGAGTAATATATTTTGATTTCATAAGCATATCATTCATTGTAAAGATTTCTTTAAATGATTTCATACAGAAATTGTATAAAATTGGAGAAAGATGGGGCTCCATATAAGCCCACAGTCCTGTTGCTTAGTTATTGAACAGTAGTCCTCTAGCATTATCTAGCAAGGAAGATTGTAACAGTCATAAAACTGTCAAAGCCCAGTCCCTCCTGACAATCCATAACACTTGCTGATAGTATTGATAGAAGTTGACAGGTCTAAGATTATAAATAAATACCAGTTTATGTAGTTTATTACTATCATATATCATCCACCAAGACAAGGAAAGCAGTTTCAATCCCATATCCCAACAACCTGGTTGAAATGGATCTAGATAATCAGTATTCTACAGTTATATCCAGAGTGCAGGACTACACATCTGGAGTAAGGCAGATGTAGAAGGATTATTAACTGCCTTCACTACTGTGGAATTTAACTACAAATGGGTTTCAGTCTCTGCTTGAGTCTCAAAATTTCCTTGTGCTCAAACTATTGAACATTTTGAGATCAAACTGATCCCTCAGCTTCCCAATAAGCAAGGGACTTTTTGCAAGGGAGAAGGTTTCGTTGAATAATTTTGTCTACTACCCATATCATTTTAATTAATAATACTGCTAACAATTTGCAGGAAAATTTGAAGGGCTTTCAATAAACCATTTGAATATATCAGTCATGTAGGACAAACTATTTTAACCAGTTCACTACTCCTTCAGAGGGTTATACTACTGCCCAAAGTAAAGGTGATCAAAGAATATTGCCAGTGATCTTACATAGCACTCCTCTGCCTTTTAGAATACCAACTTTACTCTAACAGACTACCAGATTGAGAATATGCTAAGTTCCATTTGTGTAGTCAGATACTAATGGGGAAAGTCCATGGTTGTTGATTGAAAATGTTGAGCTTGATTGGAATAATTCATTGTGGACATTGGACTCCACCAAGATGAGAAGACTGATACAACCCAATGCTTCTTTCAAAGTGCCCACAATATCTTAGAAATGGGAAATATTAGACAATAGATTGGGCAATGGAATAAAACAATCCTAAGTGAACCAGGCACATAAATATAAATTGGTCAGCTGTTGCATAGAAAATTGAGTCAGCAAGATGGAATTCCCATAGATTCCTACACCATAGACACTTACCATGCCACTGTAGATCTAAGTAACCTTGGAAACAGATCTGAGGGGGGAAATGTTTCTCCTCCCGGTGATAGATGACTTCTAAGTCAGCATTTTCATTCAGAGGTTAAATCTTCAATGAGATAAGTCTTTTAATAGCAAGTAACCTGACATTTAAAACAGGGTTTTAGGTAGGAGGGGGGAGAGGGAGGCCTTTTTTTATTATCACTATGACTTTTTTTGATAAATTGTTCTCGTATAATAGCCATACTAAAAGCTCCTAGCATGTGTACATTTGATAGCAATCTTGACTAAACAGCATGTATGAAAATATACTTGCTGACTCTTCCCAAAATCTCATCCCCCCTCCCCTCTCACCGCATGCCACAATGAAGCCAGCACAGTCAAGATTGACAAACAAACCTATTCCCTCATTAGCCTTATCTCAGAGGCTCTTTTGGTCCTAGACACAACTCAGTTCCATTCATCTCCACACCCAACTGGAAGCCTAGTTTTCTGCTATCCTCTGCTTTCCTCCACCCATGGCTCATTTGCTTCCTGTTCACCTTCTTTGTTGATTTAAAGAGGGGAAATATTTTCCGCGTAGAATATTCCTTGTAGTTTGTGTTGGGAAATAAAGAGTTTGTTTATTCTTTCCTGTAATATTCTAAATACTATCCAGTAAAAATAGCCTTAGCTAATCTCAATAAAATAACTAGATTCAAGGATTTAAGTGCTTTAATTATATTTATTTTAATAGTATTTTAATGTCATAAATTCAAATAACTGTAATTTGTTTATTTCTCTTAAGTGATTAGTCTTAAATCTGTATTTAAAATACAAAAGCACCACAGAATTAAAACAAACCAGACCCACCATTTGATAGGTCATCTTGCTTTTAGTACCAGTAGATGTGAAGAAGTTGAACACTCCAAAAATTATCTGTTTCTTTAGTGTATTCTGTTTACATACATTTTTTTATTTCTATTAAATATATGTTTTTTTCTTTCAGCACCTAGAATTCCTTCAAATAAAAGGATCTTTACAACCATCCATTCACCAAGTTGCTTATTCCAAGAAGTAGATGAAAGGTGAACTAAAACTACCATGTTTAATGTTTTAGTATATGTTTTGCTGCACTGTTTATGAAAATAATAATGAAAACAAGTAATGTACATATATTATAATAATGCATTCATTTATGTTGGCTTTTGTCAGAATATGAAGAGGACAGATCTGATAAAATAAAAAAAACTGAAATATAATTGCTCTTTGAGAATGATTTTATTCCTCTTTTCTCTCCATTACTAATAGCAGAAATTCGTCATTAAGTTTTAAATGAAAACTTGCATTATAAAGATTAAAGCAGCGGTCCCCAACCATTGCGTCTTAGCAGCCGCTGGAGTAGAGAATGGAACTGAGCCTTGTGAGCGGTGGGCTGGTGTGCAGGGAGCACCGTGTGCAATGCAACTTGCACAAGTTGAGCACATGCATGTGCAGCATGCCAGCCTGTCGCCCTCATGGCTCAGTTGCAAATAGGCCACGGCCTGGCAGTGGGCCACAGGCCAGAGGTTGTGGATTAAAGGACAGCATGGGTATTTCATACTGCTACCTGAGTTCTATAACCTTCCGTATTATATAAATAACTTTTATAAAGAGATAGATATACTATTTTTCCCACTGTTTTGCCAATTTAAGTGTGACATAAATTCCAGATATACCTATTTTCATTTTATTTCAGTTGAAATTAAATTGATATATTCCATGTATAAAATGTGTTCTGCTCTATTTTTATTCAAATTCTTTTTTAAGAGCTGTGCCTCTGTTGGGATACTTACCTCAGGACTTAATTGGAACTCCTATTTTACTACATCTTCATCCAAGTGACAGGCCTTTAATGCTAACAATTCACAAAAAAAGTACGTTCTTCTACTTTTGGTTTTCATGGAGGGTGGGAAGCAATCAATGAAGAAAACCAATGTAATAGAGCATGAGGATTATTCATGGAGCTTTAAGAAATATTTAAATGATTGATCTCCTGATTAAATTTTGGTTAATTACTCTCTCCACTCCACTCTTTTCTGTCTTGTTTATTTTTAGATTCAAATATCTGGGCAAAGCTATCATTTTGTCTATATTAATGCACATTCTAGGTGACAGAGAATAGATGAAGCAGTAATTAGACCCACTGATATAAAACCTTGATTATGACACCTAAAAAACATAATACATAAAGAATTCAAAATTGAGATGTGTATGAATTAAGATTTGAGATCATCCACAGTCTCAAAGGAATGTCTTCTGTACCCACACAAAAATGTTCACAGAGAGGAGTATCTGTGAATCAATATGCCAGATCTTCAGAGAATGTGACAGCTTTAACACTATGAAGAACAGTGCTTTATGAAACACTTTTTTAATGCCATACACAGCCTTATTTTCAAATATGGCTTTAGTAAAATAACTTCTATGCAGTGGTAGGATTCAGCTTGTTCGGGAGAACCGGTAGCTAATTTTTTGTTGACTTCGGTGAACCAGCTGAAGCCCTAGCCCTTTTTCGCAAGGCCCAGAATGGACCACTGGAAATGCATGGACGCCACTTCTGAAAGTCCATTTTGGGCCTTGGAGGCCCAGGCCCAGAACGAACTTCCAGAAGTGACGTCCATGCAGAGAACCGGTTGTTCACGTATTTGAATCCCACCACTGCATATATGTATATTAATATCTAATTGTGGTTAGTTGTATCCTTGCAGTACCTTCAGTTCCTCAATAGCCTCACTCTAATCTGTTTCGGAGTTATGAAAATTTCAAGTATTCAACCATTTAAAATATTATAAATGTTGAATTTAATACAGCCTTCTGACTGTTCCAAATCTAGATCCAGTCTAAAATTTAGAATCTTGAATTTAGAAATACTTTGTAAATATTGTGCCTATTTTCAGCAATGCAAAGACAAAATAAGTAAATTTTACATTTTCATGTCAGCAGTTCTTTTCATCTTCCACTGATCTAAAAACAGATTATTCATGCTGAAACTCAAGTTCAAAGAGCTTTTTTCATCAAACTGTTGGTAACTGTTAGTAACAAGCAAGTCATTTCTCCTGTAATATTTACAAGTTACATAGTTTTATAGTGATTTTCAAAAGATCAGTTCTCTCTATTTCTTTATTATTAAAGTTTGCATGAATTTTTTTTTACAGTACTTCAACATGGCGGACAACCATTTGATTATTCACCAATCAGATTCTGTACTAGAAATGGTGAATATGTAACTCTGGATACAAGCTGGTCCATTTTCATCAATCCTTGGAGTCGAAAGATTTCATTTATAATTGGAAGACACAAAGTTATAACGTAAGAAATTAGAACGTAATTAATTAGTATCAATAAAACAACTCATGAGATGAATTGTTTGCAAGAGGTCTCCTTACATTAGAATGCACCAAAATCTAATTATACAATTAAAGAGATCCTCTATATAAATGGATAATTCCCCCCCCCTCCTTTCTTCCTTCTGTAGGAACAGATGTGAACTTCTCAGTGCCAGATTGGATAGGAAGCCATTTACACATATAGCTTGCCTAAATTTTTAAAAGATAATAACAATAAATAACAAAGTAAAACCCCTAGTTATAGGCAAGGGATTATTTATTTATTTTCATGTTGTGGTGTGGTACCAATCTATATTACGTCTTCTACGTGTAAAAGCTGGTACTAGGAAAGGCTGGTCCAAATCAGTAAGACAGTAAAAAATAATAAGTTCCCTTATCCCCTTCCCTTGAAGGGGGAATTAGTCCAGATTAGTCTATTTTAGAAAAACTGTTGTCAGTTGTATGATTGGCATCTTACACTGTTTTGCCCATATTTCCATCATGGATGCCATTGCAGACTGTATCCAATGGTTATACAATATAATATTCCTTCAAATCAACATATTCAGTGTTATAGCGAAACCTTCCTACCACTAATTCTTTTTCCTGTTAATAGTGATAAGAATACACTTCATTAATTCTGGAGGAGCTATGTGAAAAGCAATGTTTTACACTGTGACTCCTATGTAAAGAGGCTTTAATGATTTCCTTACGGGAATTGAATTATGTAATTGAACAAGCTCGTTTGTTCTGCAATGAAGTCTTAACCATTTTGCACAAACTGTAGGTCAATTTTGAAATCATTGTTTGGATGTCGTCCTGTGTAAGGTTTCTCAGCTTTCTTTTTTCAGGGATATGTGATATATGGATAGTTTATGACTAAACCTGGAGTCTTAGATATTCTAGCTTATGTTCATTTAGTAATCATGAATATTTTTTGGAAAGTCAAAATGTCAAATTAAGGTAGTGGTACCAACTTACATGCGTATTTTAGAAATTATTTATTTAATGACCAGGGAGCTAACAACTGCATTTAAAATTGCATGTGTTGAATACTAAATGTTTATAGGAAACTTACAATTGTCCCAGATCTTCCAAGTCTTGCCAAGAGTTGCTTCAGAATACATAAATAAAATCATGTTTGGAGACTGTAAGCCTCAATATTTGATCAATATTTGATTTAAATGTGTATAGGTGCCATAGAAAAAAACAAACTATATGTAACTGAAAGCAATACACTTGTCATTATATATTATTAATGATTTTTAGGAGCACTTTGAATGAAGATGTATTTGCACCTCAACACACAGAAGAAAAAATGCAACATCCTAATACTGAAGAAATTACAGGACAAATACGTAAACTATTACTACAAGTATGATATTTATTTATTATATATTTATACACAGATATACATACACTCATGTGAGAAGCAGACAATCTTGGGTTACAGCAGCAGTTTGGACCAGAATTGTCATCGCTAAGCAATGCACTTGTAAAGCATGAAGTCACATGACTGTGTCACATAGTGATGATAGTCTCAGTAGTCCTATTGACATTGTAACTCCAATACTCATATGGGCTTATGGTAAAAGCAGGAGGCCAGGTAGAGACTATGGACAAATAGGTTGGTGCTGCAAGTGGCGGACAGGTAGAGGTGATTCCCAAGATCTCATATTCTCTAATGGGACTCCTCAGCAGAAAAGGTGATGGGAGTGATTTATGGGCATGATGTGCAACCTTCTCTGCTGATTTCCACATTTACTTTGCTTGTGGGAACCCAGGAAGGACAGTTGCAAATGGCGATTACGTAACACAGCTCACTGCAACATCATGATTGCAAGCCAAGCACCTGACCACCCAGATTGAATTCATGTGACTGCAGGGAAGCTGTGATAGTCAAAACTTCGAGGACTGGTCATAAGTCCTTTTTTTTTTAGGACCACTGTAACTTTGAACAGTTGTTGAACAAATGGATGTAAGCTGAGGACTACCTATACACACACAGACACAAATACATGAACTGTGTAACTAGTATCTTCAAAATATTGATAATTTTGCAAATGGATTATTGTTGTGAGAAAATAGGAGGAGGAAGGTGTGTTGACCATCTTGAGTTATTTATGAAAATAATAAAGGAGGGATGCAAATAAATAAGGTTTCTGATTAGCAGTGTCCTTTATTATTGCAATATATATCTATTTTTAGCCTATATATAATAGTGGCTCTAGCGGCTATGGAAGTTTGGGCAGCAATGGATCACATGAACACGTAAGAAGTGTGGCTTCATCCAGTGACAGCAATGGGAACAATGAAGATACTCAGAAAATGCAGGAAAGTGTAAGTTTGACATTGTGTTCTATTAATGTTTTCAGTCTAATGAGAAAAGGATAGTGGTATTTTTTCTCATAAATTTGAGCCAATTAAACAATTTCTAATTAATTATTCCAAATAAGCATGCATCGGTTTAAAGACTGTTTGCTTCATTTTGATTCCAGATTTCTTCTCAAAATATTTGTAAAAATGGAAGTGTGGACAGAACTCATGCCTACTTTGATTCTAGATTAAAGCTTGAAAATCAGAAGAAATCTTACAGAGGTATAAAGCAAAGTTAATTTAAAGAAATTACTATCAGTTATTTTAGCTATAACTTCAATTATTTTAACTATATTTTGGTCAAATGCACTCAGTCCAACAGTCCAACAGTAGTCATTTTGTGTGGTATTTCCTATATGCTTAGATAGCAATAACATTTAAGTTTACATACTACCCCATAACACTTTACAGCACTCTCTGAGCAGATTTCAATGTAGAAGCTTTATCTGCATATTGTCCCCAACAATCTGGCTCCTCTTTTTACCTATCTTGGTAGGGTGGAAGGCTGAGTCAATCTTGAGCCCTGTCAGCATTGAACTCCAAGCTGTGGGCAGTTTGCCTGCAGCACTGCACTTTAACTGCTGCACAACCAAATCTTGAGTTGCCTATGTTCTTAGGCTTGGTTTTATCAGTTTCCTGTCTTTGGAATGTTTGATTATGGGAGAAAAACTAAATAAACCTCTGTATTATTTTTATTTTTAGGATGCTTAGAGAAACACACTGACTACCGTGATCATACCAATAGTACCACTCAATTGTTTGAAAATGATGGCATTGGGACTGCTTGTCAAAGGAGTCTAGTTGCAAAAGAATCAACTTGGAGAGAACACATGATATATTCATATCAACAGATCAGTTGTTTAGATAATGTTATCAGGTAAACAATATTGAATTTCACTGAATTACTGTTATGTATGTGTATGCACATTTTAAAGTGACTGTTTTTATAAACTTAAAGTTACTTTTTCTTGTAGATACTTGGAAAGTTGCTGTGCAGCTGATACTGTGCAGAAAATGACTCACCCTACACCATATACTGATGTAGCATTGAATACTGATATATATAGAGAGAAAATGAATGTTAATACAACAAAAGCGTCCACAGGTATTGGAGAGATTGTTTATGGATTTCACAGAGAAGTCTTATGCACATTTATCTTCAACTAATGTTACTTCTTATCCAAGTGTGTTTAGAATTGCAGCATCCATTTGGGCAACATTCAGTCTTATAATATGGTCTTTCCTAAGCTGAGCCTTACATGTAAAGCAGTCACTTTAAGAAAGTCAATCTTTTCTTCTTCAACCATGATCATATTTAGACTATGAGTTTCCCAACCAGAACCAGCAACAGTGAAGCAGGGAAACTTGTGATACATTCATTTTACTGGTAATTATCTGTGTTCTGTATTATTAGGTTTCTCAAAGACCAGAGAGAGTAGTAAAAAAGAAGAATAGAATAATTTTCAACAACCAAAGTTTGACCGTTTTGATTTAATCCAGTCTTAGAAATAGATTTACTATTTATACCAGCATTTAGTACAGCATGTTTATGAACAAATTAGATTACAGTGCACAGGCATTTAAATAATCTAAATATTGAAATGAAGAGGAAAATAATTCCTGTTCTTGTGCTCATTCAGAAACATTTCTTCAAAAACGTATTGCTTCCATTATAGATAAAGTACTTGGATGTTAAATTGAATAACAGTTCTAATATTTTATTCCTCTTCCTCAGCCTAAATCTGTGTAAGCCAGAAGGAATGGCAATTCAATGCTTTAGTCTTGATGACAATGAATGGAAACTTTTATCAGTGAAAACATATTTACAAACTCATGAAATAAAAAAGTGAAGCACATATAGTTTAAAAAAATTCTAGAATGCTGAAAAACTACACTGTATAAAACCTTTCCTAATCTTTATCATATTTTTGATTTCTCAGAAGTTTGCTGCTTCTTAGTCTAGTAGCTCTGGACAGTTTCACCTGATATCATGTTTGATTTATTTGAAAACTTTGCATTTATTCTTTTTATTCTTTTCTCTTTGTGTATATGGTGTGTTTATGTTGTTACTGAAAAGAAAGGGGACAGTCAAAAACTCACATAGGTCCTGCAGTGTTGGAAACATCTGATACATCCAATGCTTCAGCTCTTATGCTCATTTAACTTCTTTGACTTTTCCTGGACAACCTGAAAGTGTAATATCTTTTGTCAGTCAATGCAGCACTATAGTTCATGTTGGAGATTAAAAAACACAGCCTGAATTAGGTATAGTACCACCACTTTTGTTACGAGATAGAATATGATTCTGTATTCTCTAGAATAAATGTAGGAAGTTTATTTAGACATTTAATTATAATAATTATATGCTCTCTTTCCTGTATAAATGGAACAAACTTCGGCAGACTACTATAGACATTTACACTTAACATGTTAACAACATTAAAAAATTCCTATATGTCTGTATTCAACTTTTTTTTTAGAAATTATAGAAGACAATCCATCTGGGATAAAATCCATAGAGAATCAAACTATTGTTCTACATTCTAACCGTTCACAAAAGAACAAAGGAAAAGCTATATTTAAGAAATTAGGTCTTACAAAGGATAGCCTTGCAATACATACTCAAAAAGAAGAGTGGAGTTTTCTGAATAAGTGTAAAGAAGTAAAAAGGTTCCATATTTTTAAGTGTGCTTGCAATTGCTACTTTCAAAAAAGACCCAAAGGATGCCCAGCGGAACATGGTATGCTTTTTAAATAATTACTGTTAATTTGTTTAAGACTTTGTGCATAGTTCAGTACAAATGTAGATATGTGTTATATTGGATCTCAGATCTATGAGCCTGGCTAGGGAATTGAAGTCCACATATCAAAGTTGCCAAATTTAAAAAACACTGTTAGCCAAACGAATGAGAGATTAAGTTATCATTTTCAATCTACAAGCAGTGTGATTTGTTACTTTGAATGCAAAACAAGGAGTATGATTTCTTCCTATATTTATTGTATTTATGCAGATTTCAGATTTAAAATCGCTTCTGGAAATGGAAGAATTAGAAATGTGTTATAACAAGGCATTTAAATAGAACCAAATTTGTTAAAGTTTAAAATATTTCAGGATCTGGCAAGACTTTTTAAAAAAAAGCCTACTAAATTTTTCACCTCTGCAGCTAGCAGAGATTCTTCAAGTCAAAAGGTGTGACTTCTAAGACGGGTCCCCAGCCCCAGGGCTATGGAACAGCACCGGTCCACCGTGCACCAGAAACCAGGCCACATAAATGAGCAAAACTCTATCTGCCCATGCCTTTCTGGTCCACAGAAAAAGCTCTCTCCATGGAACTGGTCTATGGCACCAAAAAGGTTTGGGGCTACTGTTCTAGGAAGAGACAGTTTGGTGTGCTGGTTAAAGAGTTAGTCTAAAAACTAGGTGACTGTGAGTTCTAGTCCCGCCTTAGGCATAAAAAACTGGTTGGGTGACTTTGGGCCAATCACTCTCTCTCAGCCCAATTCCCTTCACAAGATTCTTGTTGTGGGGAAAATAGGAGAAGGAGGGAGTTTTGATATGTTTGCTCCTTTGAGTTGTATATGAAAAAATGGCTGGATAGAAATAATTAAAAAAAAGAATAGAGTCAAAACAGATGTTCAGACACAATTAAATAACTTCTCACTTTTTCTAGATATGTGTGGATTACACCATGGTTCTGGGGTAGCTTTTTCTTTGAAGAAAATTGGAAGGATCAAGAAATCTAAACAAAAACGACACAAGCAACATGATTCTTCAAACAATATAACGTCTGGTACCAAACCCTTGCATAAATTTCTTCTGCTTAACCCAAATAATGCAGCTTCTTCTCCATCAAATCATTCACAAGCAAGTTATCCAGTTGTGCCTGTTTCGACAATTATGCCCACCATTTTCCCATCTACTGGAATCACACCAGCGGTTCCTGAAGTTTCCCTACCTTATTTTAATGAAACACAGGATTTCAAAAAACATTGTCCTCTGCCATTAACTGAGTTTGTTCCACCCTTAATGACTCCAGTAGTAGCACTTGTTCTCCCTAACCATGTATGTCCTCAGACAAATAATAATATTCCTCAGACTTCTTGTCTTGAGCCACCTGGTTTTTCTGTTCAGCCTTCTTTCTCTTCAGAAACTTTGCTTACAACACCTCCTTCATTTGCTGCCTCAAACAAGTTCCCACCTGAGGTAGATTTTTCACCACAACCACTTTGTTATAATTCTCTAGCAAATAGTGAAAAGAATCCTGTTGTAGAATGTCAAAATAAGCTATCCCGTTCTTGTACACCAGAGTCCTTGGGTCTACAAGATCAGTCCTCATCAATGTTGTACCAGTCACGGTGTAGTTCTCCTTTACAGTTGAATCTTCTGCAATTAGAAGAAAAGCCAAAAACATTGAGAAATGGAAGTATTGCTGTAGAGGGAAATTATGGGACTTTAACTGATGGAGAGATTACAAATAAACAATTAAGCAGAGATAATAAAAGAAAAGCATCGTGTGCAGTAAGCATTATTTATATTTACCTATTTATTATGCATGTGAAAAATTCTTTAGAACTTGTCACTTAATTCTATTTATTTAATACAGATATTCCTTGATTACAGCCACAATTGAGCCCAAAATTTCTGTTGCTAAGCAACACAATTGTTAAGTGAATTTTGCTTCATTTTATGACATTTCTTGCCACAGTTGTTAAGTGAATCCTTGCAGTTGTTAAGTTAGTAACATAGTTTGTTAAATGAATCTAGATTCCCCATTGACTTTGCTTGTTAGAAGGTTGCAAAAGGTGATCACATGACCCCAGGACTCAGCCACCATCATAAATACATGCCAGTTGCCAAGCATCCAAATTTTGATCATGTGACTGTGGGGACGCTGTAACAGTCATAAGTTTGAAAAATGGTTATAAAGCTTTTTCCAGTGTTGTTGTAACTTCAAAAGGTCACTAAACAAATGAGTGTAAGGCAAAGACTACCTGCAGTGCATAGTATCTACAGTTACAGCTACAAACTATTTTCTTTAAAAACTAACAGTTTTAAAGGTATATGATCAAAGCACAAACTGCAGTGTAAAAACTACTGTATCGCATTTTTTTAATTGGGATTTTTATACTAGAAAATATGAACAGTTTTCAGTACATTTACACAACACTATTCTTATTTGTGGAGCCTGTATTGCAGACAATTACATATTTCAGGGGACTATAGATCATGTAGCCCAAGTCTCTGCTTAATGTAGAAAATCTAGGGCAATACCACAGGTTGTCCCAAAGTTGCTTTTCAAAAGGCAATTGGGTTTTTTTTCCTAGAAAATGTTTCGCTTCTTAATCCAAAAAACTTCTTCAATCTGAGAATCTCCATAGACAATAGCACAGGTTGCTGCATGATCTCTCTTAAGGAGCTCCAGCAAAAGACAGCCCATGATTCCTGTAGAAAGTATGGAATATACATTATTATGAATTAGATTAAATTCCTAACTTTAATATGACTTTTTGCCCATAGCATTGTTTTAACTGTAATAGTTGGGTTTTTTTAAAAAAAGAAGGCACAGTATCTCTCTTCCACTAATATAATTGCTATGTGAATCCTATGTAATGAGTTTACTCCTGATCCTCTTATTGATAAATATTATTCCTTAAATATTTAAAGTTATACTGTTTAATTTTTGTTTGTTAAGGTTAACACACAAATGGAAGTTCAGAATACTGATACATTTTCTTTATCTACTGATCTACTTGATTTACTTCAAGAAGACACAAATTCAGTCACCGGATCAGGAAGTTTTGCTTTAGCAGCTGCTGAATCTTTAGAATCTGGATCAAATGGATGTGATATGTCAATCTGTGGAGCAGGTAATGTGGCACGTGCAGGTATTCTGGAGGTAGTTACATGGAAAATCAAGTTTAATGAGTAAAAGTGTTGTTTTTGCCTTCTGTAGGATGTAGTGGGACAAGTCAAATCAGCAAGTACATTGGAAGTATTAACTCCTCAGAAAATAATCATAAAACAAAATGTTCACAAATGGAAGAAGATGTACAGTACATTAAATGTGTCGTCCAGGATCCTCTTTGGCTAGGGATGGCAAATGCAGATGATACTGTTATGATGACTTACCAGATTCCATCACGGTAATTTTAATTTTGATTTTGATTAAAGTTGCATAATATCTAAACTAAGTAATAAGATTTCTGATTTCAAACAGCCATTGTCTATTGTTCATGTGAAAATGCCTGTTTACTTCAGTGGCATCTACAGGTTGTTGCTACTTTTGCCAGAGTGACCCCTTTCTCCCTATTTGGCCCCACAGCCACCACTGGTTAAATTCCCTTAAACTAAATTTTACTTTTGTAAAGGATTCATTTACTTTTTACTGATTCATAGTATTATTGAAAGATGGTAGAGGACAAGAAGGCCTGGAGGAATGTTGTCCATGGGGTCGCGATGGGTCAGACACGACTTCGCATCTAACAACAACAAGTATTATTGAGTTGGAAGAAGCCATTTAGATTACTGAGTCCAAATTAAGCATTTGTGATAAATAATTGTTTAGCTTCTCTTGGACTACATTCAATGAAGGAGAGCTCACCATTCCTTCAGTAATTAATTTCACTGTCAAATTTATTTGCCTGTTAAGAATTATTTGGTAATGTTCAGTCAGAATTTGCATTCCTGCAAGTTAAAATAATTATACTGTGTCCTGCACTCTAGAATGATGGAGAACATGACTTGATCTTTGTAATATCTGTTTAAGAACTTTTAAATATTTCTCCCTTCAGTTAGCTTTTCCTTAATGCTAAAAATATAATACCCAGTTCCTCCAGATGGCTGTTTAGAATACCCTTCTTTGAAACTGTTCCTAAAATTACAGAAGGTACATAAAATACCATGAGAACCTGACTAATATAGTAGAAGTCTCATTTACCATGACTGGAAACTCCACAACTACTCTCATTTATAGCTACATGACTAACATCACATAAAAATAGAGCTTTTTAATACAATATAGAGTTAAACATTATAATAGCAACCTTTAACTGATGCAATTAAAATCACATTTACCTTTTTTAGCATCCACATCATGATGCTGACACATTCAGCTTATGATCAGCCACAATTCTATTTCTTTTTTCACACATAGTATCAAACTAGATTTCCCCCTTGTTTGAACCTTTTTTCCTCCAAGGGAAATAACTTTGCATTTCTCTGTATCATATTTCATTCTGTTAGCTATTCTTATCTTTCTACAGTATTTAGTATCCCATCCAATCTTACGTTTTCTTCATTTCCTTTGAAACAAAGGACATGCAGATCTATCTGATAATCTAAAAATTATGGTATAAGTGTTTCATCCACAGCCATATTGGCAGCATCCATGGAGAACTAAGTGAATGGCTCTGAAGTTTTTAATCAGTAATTAGAAAAAGAAAACTTTTAGCCTGCTCTACAATTTAGTGGTTTCTGCACCATTAGAATTACATGTGGAACTTAGAATTAGGCACAAGAGAGCTTTAAGTATTAATCTTCTGCTCCGTTATATAAGCCAACAAAGAACATCCTTAGTGGCCTTTATTCATTGTGCCATCCAAACAGAAGCAATTGTTTTAGCCTATCACTATCCTAAAAAAATAAATATTTTGCATTGGCAGTAATTGGGTCTCTTTCAGTAGACAGTTAGAACAGTTAATCAGTGGAACAGCCTGCCTCCAGAAGTTATGAATGCTCCAGCACTGGAAGTTTTTAAGAAGAGATTGAACAACCATTTGCCTGAAATGGTACAGGGTTTCCTGCCTGAGCAGGGGGCTTGGACTAAAAGATCTCCAAGGTCCCTTCCAACTCTATTCTATTCTATTCTATTCTATTCTATTCTATTCTATTCTATTCTATTCTATTATTTCAGTATATCTATATATGTTGGAAAGTTTGATATGGAATCCTATCTACCACACAACAACATGAGTCATTCAGAGATCAAGTAAATAGAGAATTTCTTAACAATTGATTATACCCTGTTTTGTGCACAGTTCCTATTTTGCCCTCACTACATCAGCAAAATATAGAATTGCATTCTCGCTCAAATAGGCATAATAAAAATTCACACGAATGTATACATCAAATAGTAAAATATACAGTCTAAAATTAAATTGTTTCTGTAACATTTGCCTGCGATTATTTGTAATGTTTATATATTTTGGCTATTTGAAGGCTGAAATGAAACTGTTTATTTTGCATATGCTTATTTTAGACAATTGGAAACTGTTTTGAAAAATGACAAATTGAAACTGAAACAAATGCAGATGTTCCAACCAGTATTTACAGAGGAGCAAAAAAGGGAGTTACTTGAAGTTCATCCATGGATTCAGAAAGGTGAACTCCCTCAGGCTCTTGCAAATTCGGTATGTTTTAGAGATTTCTTTATTTATTTTAAGTATGAAAAGTATTTTATTTATGGTTAGTATAATAAAGATAGGTAGGTTACACTAGCATTGGAACATTTGAATATACCACATTTACTTCTCTGTAAATCTGTAAGACCACCCATCTAACCAATGATAGTCTCAGCATGGAACATACCATAAAAAACATCAGCAATAGTAAAACAAACAAAAAAACCAGGTTGAGGCCCTTTCATTTAAAACACAAAGCACTTACAGCATACATCCATGCTACTTCCTAAATTATCAACTTGGCTCCAATGCCTGAGGGAAGAGCCACTTGTTCACCACCTTCCAAAAGTCTTATAAGGTTGGAATTATCTATATCTCTGAGGGATGCTGTTCCATGGGGCAGGAAAGAGAAAGCCTACTTCCTAGGACTCAGTAGGTAACTCCCCCTTACCGATAAGACCCGTCATTTGCTCTCTTTGTCCAATCTTGACGGACAGCTTGGAGGAAGTTGATGTTACACATAATCTGATGCCATGCAGATGACCAGCTCCTTGAACTGTACGTTGAACTGTTGGGAGACAACACAGCTCCCATCACAGTGGTGTTCTGTGGCATACCATGGTACACCTAAAACTGTTTCTGATGCTACATTCTTGATTACCTGAAGTTTCAAATGCCTTTCAAGGGCACCTTATAGATTATGTTGCAATAGTCCAATCAGAAGGAGACTAATAGTAGAATTTAATCTCAGTATATTCAATTCAGGTTACTCCAGCCAATTGTTTTAATGTACGCTCTCTTATGGACACGATCAAATATTTCTAAGAAAAAAATATTAAAGTGGAAGATTCCAGTTGATGAAGGTTCCAGTTGATTAAAAGTTATAATTCACTTTTTCTTTTGAAGGTTTGTATTAATTGTGAAGAAGGTAGCTGATCTTACATACAAAATGAAGGAGAAAATCAATGAAATGGAGCTTAATGAATGAGGTTGTGAGAATAGTTCACCCATTCTGAACCCATTCAACAGTGAAAATGTGTAATCCATGAAGAGAATTTCAAAATCATCTGCTTTCAGCTGAGGCAATGCATCATTTTGTCTCAAAGGTTAAGTTTGTTTCTTGTGAAATGAATCTCATATGCCAAACAAATGGATTTTTTTTGTTCTAAAGAAAGGTCATTTGTTAATAATCTCTTTTTATGGGGAGCATGTCTTTCTATTATTGTGAGCAATTTCTGAAAATGATTTTTTGTTTGCATTTAATAAAATCTTTTCAATTTTAAATGTTTACATTTAAAGTTGTGGTTTATTAACATTATAGAGAATGCTACTAAAACCTCACTGGATTCCATAAGAAATATAAAAATACTATGTCATCCTAACATTTCTTCCCTGTCTCTATTTTTTTCTGTAATAGGAACTATATATTTAAGATGTTTAAAAATATCTTAAATGGTGTTGAAATTAATAGTTAATAGATTTTACAAGTGTTTCAGTTATAAAACAAATCCACTGTTAACCATTAAATATATTTTAATTTACTGCTATACAGTATTTTAAATGCAATAACAGTAGCTTATTCTTTCTCTAATCTCCACATCTGAGGGAGAAACAATTTCAGGTCAGAAAATAATACCATTGTGTTTGTAACTGTTGCATTTCATATTTAGTAAATATTATAATTTGTTCCATTGTTCTCATCTTAGAATTCATTTGTCACTCTTGTTTTAGAAACATACTTCCATATAATAATAAAAATATGCTAATGCGTTAGAATTAATTTTTATGCCCTTTCTTTTAAGTCACGGGTCACTTCAGAGTCATATTCTGTGCTAAAATCATTGCCCAGCAAGGAGAGTCTAGTCTTAACATTGACAATAATTCCTCTAAGATAATAGCATAATATATATTTATTGTAAAGGAATGTCACACAGCAAATCCGATTACACTAATCATTCTTAATTACCTTCCTTTGCTTTGTATGATACCCTTGAGTAGTTTTAACCATCTGGATTACATTCAGTATGCTCTCTCTCCTGATTCTTTAGTCACAGAATGAACAGCAGTATCATAATTTTTTTTAGTGTGAAGAATTACTTCCTTGTCTAACTCTGTTGCAATGTTTAGTCCGTGTGTGTGTGTGTGTGTGTGTGTGTAATTTTGAATCTTCTGTTTCAAAAGTTAAATCCAAAGATTCTGCAATAGAGTGATGTCCCAGTATTATTTCTGAATAACAGAAGATTATTTCCAGAGTCAGTTAACTACCTATTGAAAGAAATCCAACTGTTCACTTGTTAACTTCTCTTCACCCGGGCTTCCAAGATCCATTAAAGGTGACAACCAACACTATTAACTGTCTCCAGAAGCACAGTGGCAAGGTATGTAGTGGTGTTGCATGCATCAAGTGGCCGCACTAACTATCTATTCTGTCATATTCTGAAACTTCCAAATGCTCTTCAAGGGCAGTCCCACATAGAGTGTGTTGCCAGATGGGATGTGGTTCAGATGGGATGTCATGGTGGCCTGAATGATAGGAAGTAGGGCTTTTTGGTCCAGGAAAGGTGCACAACCTGAAAGGTGCATAGCTCCTGCTTATAGGTCTTCTTTGAGCAGGAACTATGAGTCCAGGAAAACTCCCAGATTGCACATTGGGTCTGTCTGAGGCAGTGCCACTTCATTCAGAACCAATAATGTAAGAATCCTGGCACCACAAGGTTGAAAAACCCAAAGCTATACAGACTTGCTTCAGTAGATCCAAAGTGTATTGTGCATCATCCAGACTCCCACAGCCCCGAGGTACTTGGACAGGATATCCATAGCATCACTTAGGTGATTCTGGGGTGAAATACGAGTATTATCAACCTACTGGTGATACTTATGCCAAACTATTGGATTGTGTCAACCAACAACTTCATGTAAATGTTAAGCAGGAGGAATGAAGGAACCAAACCCTAATTTTTCCTTAGTTCTACATTGCTTCTCTCTTTGATTAGTTTCCATCCATTGTTTCTTGTCTTGCCTTCTGGTGCTTTGGAAAATGTCTTCTTTGTGGCAGCCTCTCAAATATTGGAACACTGCTATCATGTCATCCCTAGTCCTACATTTCACTAGACATGACATACCCAGTTCCTGCAACCGTTTTTGAAATGTTTTAGCCTCTAGCATTCCTAATCATCTTTGTTGCTCTTTTCTGCATTCTTTCCAGAGTTTTAACATCATTTTTATAATATGGTGACCAAACTGGATGCAGTATTGTAAGTGTGGTCTTATTAAGGCTTGATAAAGCGGTACTAATACCTAACGTGATCTTGGTTCTATCCCTCTGTTAATGCAACCCAGGATTGCACTGGGTTTTTTGGCTGCTGCCGTACACTGCTGGTTCATATTTAAGTGATTGTCCACTAGGACTCCAAGATCCATCTCACAATTATTGCTATTGAGTCAGGTTTCACCTAATTTGTATCTGTACACTTGGTTTTTCTTGTCTAAGTGTAAAACCTTACTATTCTCTACACTGAATTTCATTTTGTTAGATATTGAATGTTTTGTTAGATATTCAATAATATTTCAGTGCTTTGATTCTTTAATACATATAATTTACTTTTAGGCACATGATTGTTTGGTGTGGCAACTAAGTATGTAGCCAGTACTAAACCAAATTATTAAAGTCTACCGCCAGCTCCAAATCCTGAAGAGAATAATATATAGTACCGGAGATGATCAAAATTCTGAAAAATTGTATTTCCATCCTCTAGGTGTCACTCTTTATTTACATTTAAATATATTTAAATTCACAGAGATTTTACTATGTTGGAATTCAACTTCAATTAAAAATGTTGCATTTGCCATACTGCAGTCAGTTAAAGCCATATATAGAAATACTGTATTGGGCTCTTCTACTAAAAATAAAATTACATTGAAAGGCAAAACCAATTAAGCAACTAAAGAGCAAGTCTGTTTGATCTGCCACTCTTCCTATAAACATTATTGAATCTGCACATGTCTGTATAGATGTAATTACTAATTATTAATTACTAATTACTACATGGATATCAGAAGAAACTGATAGAGGAAAAGCTAATAAAAGTTTCAATACTCTATTTGAATGATTTCTAACTATATATTACTAAAATTCCTTTGTCTGTAATCTTTCACTGGAGTAGCTTTAATCATGCATTATAAAGCAAAACTTTTGAATCAAGCTATCTCAAATGGGCTAACTTACAGAATGTGTCCAGACCCATGACTCAAGTAGAATTGAAATTTTGAAAATTTATAAAACATTTTATGACATCAAAATGACCATAAAGGATTTTGTAACATTAAACATTTTCTGTGGTCAACTCTGATGACTAAGCTATACAATTGAACATGGGGCTATTTTCAAGACAGAAATATCTTTGACTATTTCTCTGAATATTCTCTGAATTTTTAACAACTTTATAAGTTCTGATATTGTTGAAGGCATTGAGGAATCTGGTAAGGAAATATCTCTGAAAGAATGGGGTCACTCTAAATTTCAATATCCATAAAGGAAATAAAAACTGATAGATTGTTGAGGAGAAAGAGGATGTCTATAGTGATGATGAAATAGATGATAGATGATAGATAGCTAGATAGACAGACAGACAGACATGCACATTCAACACTTCCAGCTTTGGAATAAACAGGCATCCCTACTTCTATATTCCCAACAATTTTTGTTTAATGTGTTATATAGAATATTACCTCAAATTCATATGTGTTTTAATTATTTCTCAGTCTAATTCCCATAAGGGTATACATGTGCTCCTGTTTCTGAAACACTACTTTTTAAAATCATTACATTTCATATTTTATTTTCGAAGTATCTACAGAAACTTATGAAAACATTGCAGACATACTATAGTTGAAGACAATGCATTTCATACGAAACTATGAAATTTATTTTCAGGTGAAAAGGGTGAATATCTAATACATACTCTATGATACCATATCAATTATTTATATGTATATTTAAGAGCTATGATATATTTGATTTGTGGCTTGAGTGGGTTTGGAGAGCATCCTAGGTTCTTCAGGTATAATTCTAATTATGATATCTACGCCTGTTTCTCAATATAGATTTTTCCTAGTCCTATCCTCTAGTCCAGGGATAGGCAACCTTGGCTCTTTTATGACTCGTGGACTTCAACTCCCAGAATTCCTGAGCCAGCCATGCTGGCTCAGGAATTCTGGGAGTTGAAGTCCACGAGTCATAAAAGAGCCAAGGTTGCCTACCCCTGCTCTAGTCTATACAGTGTAAAACAGTGTTTCTCAACCTTGGCAACTTGAAGAGATATGAACTTCAACTTCCAGAATTCCCCACCAAGCAAGGCTGGCTGGGGAATTCTGGGAGTTGAAATCCACACCTCTTTAAGTCGACAAGGTTGAGAAACACTACTATAAAACGTGTATTTAAGATCAATGACAGCCATGTAAATTGTATTCCAAAAACATGTTAAAATATAGTGTGGTTTTCTAAAATCTAAGTGTGAAATCTTTAATCAAATTCCCTAATCATGATTGATTATAACATAAATTATCTTAGCTATTGTTCAGTATGTTGTCAAAATCCACTCCAATAAAGAAGCTCTTTTTCACCCTTTTGGACATGCAAAAGCTTCTTTGGGTGCACAAAATTGCTAGGGGGAAAATGAACCTTATCCATAAACAATATATCCATAATTAAGTAATTAATTAAGTCACATAATTAAGTCACAACAATCTTTTTTCTATTATTTTCAAAAGCCAATCTTTTTTTTAACCAACCAAGAAGTATAAGATTGCTGGATATCTGGGTTTGGTAGAACCTGATAAATTGATTATCTGGAGCATAATTAGGCTAGTTCCATATTTGCAAACTATCTTTTGCATACTGAAATCCTTTCAAAGTTTATTTCTGAGCCAAATGAAAAGAAAAAAATGGTCTGTGAATAATAATACCAATACCTGTGGTTTATTTTAGCCATTTATAAACCATCCTTACCTGATGTAAAGATGCATCAGATCTAATTATTTGGACTATGTGGAGGCATCTACTGGTTTGTCTTCAGCAAATGATGTACTGCACCCCCATCTCATAATCATAGCATTGTCCTGAATTCTGTGTTTGTTTACCCCTTCACAACATGTCATTTCAGTGTCCTGTGTTTCCCCATTTTGCCGAAAGTCTGAGCATTCATTGAGCTGCTTCATTTT